TGGTGAGGTGCGCAGGGTTAAGGGAGCTAAAGGAGGCGCAGGTGAGGTGCGCAGGGTTAAGGGAGCTGAAGGAGGCGCAGGTGAGGTGCGCAGGGTTAAGGGAGCTGAAGGAGGCACAGGTGAGGTGCGCAGGGTTAAGGGAGCTGAAGGAGGCACAGGTGAGGTGCGCGGTCCTGTGGCGTGGAAGGCACTCATGCTCCTTTTTCTTCTGGCATTGTTGAAACTTCACTTTGTGTCACAGAGAAAGGAAAACTTGCAGGCTGTTATGCTTTCAGCTCACAGGGTTGTTCTGAAGGCCGTCTGCTGTGAGTGGAATGAGAGGGATACTGCGTTGCTGGTGTGTGTGTCTACCGTTTTTAAACTTTACCTATTCCTTCAGTATCAGCACCTGTTGTTAACATCTTTCGAACGTGCATGCCACATTTTGTGGCTCTGGACGCTGACTCCAAATGTGTACCCAACAACTGGAAGGGTGGGAGCTAGGTAGAAAACAAATGAGGAGGATTTATATGGTTCTCCTGGTCCCCACAGTCCTCTTTGAAAGGAAGTCTAAGCCCCATATCCCTCATCTTGTGCGACACAGGATGGGACAGAGTGGGGGAGGGCATTTACCTGAACTAATGATTTTGTTGTATGCTTTTCTCTCTCCAGCTTCTGTCCCATCCTTAGCCCATCTGTGTCGTTTGGAAATTCGGTCCAGCCTAAAGGCAGATCACTTACACTCTGACAGTTTTATCCGCCAGTTGCCACTTCCTAGAAGCCTGCATAATTACTTGCTCTATGAAGAGGTTCTGAGGAAGAATGAGGTTCCAGAACTGGCAGTTTGTGAAGAAGTCGGCGACGCTACGTAACACAGCTCCTGCCTTACACTGAGCACCCTGAACACTGAAGAGCCACAGTGTGCAAGTTACTCTCGAAACTTGGTGGGGGAGGTGCAGAGCCTCGCACTCAGGCCCTTGTGCGTGCCGGGCAGGATCTGTGCCTGAACTGTACCCCAGCTCTAGTCTGTAGCCACAAAAATTGTTTTTGTTCGGGGAAATTGTTGGGTTGGAGGGGCAGTGCTAAATGGGATGCTTCCAGCTGGGCTTCTCCGTTAAAAATAAGTAAACTTCACTATTTTTACAGCTTCATTACCAGTACACTTCATGTTGTAATACTTGTTTACCTTGCCATTGTCTCTTTGTTCTGCTAATAATAAATTGATGTTTCGTCTAGTGCTGCACATGGCATATGTTCACCTGAAGTGTATGTTTACCTGGTGCTAGCAACTGCAAGTGGAGTATGTGACACTTCTCTGGGAGAGCATATGGCTGTGTTGTTGGGTTTCTTGTTGTTTTGGGGGGTGAATACATCTCTTAAGCTTATAACAGTACATTTTCCTGTCCTTTCATATTCTATTTTTATCTCTGAAGCCTTTTCACGTGTAAACTAGGGATTTTTTTAAAAAAAGTATCAGTAATATTGCTGGCTTTACTCATGTCCAGTTCTCCTATAGTTGTTGGCAAAAAATATTAGGCTAGTAATATACCTAAGCTCACAAGCACTCTCAGTTCAAATTACAAGGTCAGATTTAGGATAAATAAGCATTTTATCATTTCCACAATATTAAAAAGGAGCCTGAGGGGACATTTATGGGACATCTTTTAAAAGGTATATATTCTTGAGTTAGTATCAAATACTACATTTGAGCTTATTCAGCCCCAGAATCCAAAAGCAGCCTTGTTCTATGAGGCAGTAATGACCAGTTTTACTAAGACTGTAGCGTTTTTCTCTTACCTAGCTAGATAGGTCACCAAATCCTGGGTTACTGAGGCACATCTTCATAGGTTGCGATAGCTGCTCAGTGGGGGGTCTCAAGTCGGGAAGGACACAGGACACTGAGCTGCTTTGGTGCTGTGGACATTGGCCAGGAGAGTGTCCTGCTACAGCGGATGACTGAGGCGGGGCTAGAACAGGCAAGTCTTGCGTTCCGTAGGTTCTGTGGGTGGACCAGGGAGCAGAGCTGTCTCCCTCTGAGTGGCCTTGCTGTTTGCTGAGAGCAGTAGTGAAAGTGGGGTGAGGGAGTGCGACCACTAAGGTAAGTGGGGTTTCTGTGTAGTCAAAATGGGCCAGGTATGGAGTTCAGGAGGAGAGTCTGATAACTAAATTTAATAAAGAAATTCCAAAATTATTTGTACGTATTGTGTTTTTAAAACATAACCTTTGTTGGGCTGGAGAGATAGGTTGGTGGTGTAAGTGCCTGCCTGGCAAGTGCAAGGACCGAGGTTCAATTCCCAGGACTGCATGCCTGCTGGCCCTGCGCTGAGCCAGCCACAAAGACCTGGTCAGGTGGCAGAGCCTGTAATCCAGCGGTAGGGTGGCTGAGACAGAAGGATCATCATGAGTCTGAGCTGCATAGTGAGACTATGTACCAAAATATAACGTTTATTTTCCAAGCCCCAAGTCTGGTTTTTTAAACATAACACTTCTGGGGGTGGTGGTAGAGAGCCACATGTGCGTGGAGAGCCTAAGTCTCAACTGATCTTCTGTATATTCACACAACCAAAGAGTTATGAATTATATGATGTCACTGGGCTCCTTTTGTTTGAAGATATGAGAATACAGATGGTCTCTAATTTTTTTGTTTAGTTTTTCACTTTACAATCATGCCAGCATGTCCCACATTCAGCAGAAGGCATACTTTGGGTCTGGAGTCTTGATCTTTTCCTGGATGAGCGCTGTGCTGTCATCCCCGTGCTGTGGGAGGTGCAAGCAGTTTAGCGACTTAGGGAAGCCCTATCTCAAAATCTGAAGACAGCTGGGGCTGTCACTCAGCACGAGGACCCGGGTGCAGCCCCAGCACTGTCAGCGTAAGCACAGGTGTCTGGACAGCAGCAAGAGGAGGATCCCACTGAGTGCCCATCTGTGCAGCTGTGGGAGACCTGGCGCAGTTGGTGGAAGGTAACAGGGAAGGCATGATTTTCCCAAGAGCTTGTGCTGGCTCTGTGAGGTCACACCTAGTGTTCATGACTTTAGGAAGTCATGGCTCTCGTTTGATAGCTTACATGCTATCAAAGTTTAGAAAACTTTGCTAAAGAAAACCATTGCTCAAGAAAACCAAAGGTGCATAATCTTTGTAATTTACAAGAAGGAAAATGAGACTATGTCCTGATAAATGGTTATAAATCAGATGTCAGTAAAACTTAGAACACTAGTACTACAAATTAG